AGAGGCTGTGGCTGGTGCAGCAAGGAGCAGCTTTGACCCCAGAGATGGCACCCGCAGCAATAACTGCCCGATCCCAGCGGGTCCCCTTCAAGGAGACTACTGCTCCACAGATGTCTGTAGGGCACCTCCTGCTTGGGGTGGGGCAGGCTGGGGAGAAGGGTCCTGGAGCGGAGGTCGGTGAGTCAGCAGAGGACCACAGGGGACAGTGGGGCATCCAAGGGCGGCCATCCAACCTTACTGGCGGGGAGTGGGTTCGCCCCAGAGAGAGCTGCCTGGGGGGGAGGTGATGCATGCCTAGGAACCTCCAGGGCGCACTCAGGGCAGCGCCCTACTCTGGACCCACAAGCCACAACTCCCCTTTCTCTCACAGCCTGTCAGTTGTCCCAGGCGGTCAGTAAAGGGAAGCCCAGCGGCACCACAGAAGTTGTCCCTGAGGGGATAGCAACAGGGCCCTCCTTCAGGGAAAGGGCATCAGAGCATCATGCCACCAGCCTCCAGGTCCCAGTTCCGTGATGTTAATAAAGACCTTGTCCACGGGGCCAGGCCACGTGCCAGCTCAGGCACAGCAGGCCACAATGGCCGGGCTCCAGGCTGTCAGGTGCTGTGGTCCGCTGACGTTTAAGACAGCGCAGTGACCCCCTCCCAATATCCATGCCCTTCTATAGTCCTCTCCCCTGGAGTGTGGCCTGTCCCTGGTGGCTCGCTCGTAACCAAGTGAATAAGGCAAAGGTGGCATTCAGGATTAGGCTACAAACTGCTGTGTCTGTGTTGGGAGAGGCCACGTGGCCAACAGTCCGTGAGAAACTCCTGCTGCCTGGAATGGGGATATATTGGTTGGCACTTGAGAAGTCGTTTTGGGTCATGAGGATGAAAACCACATCCTGGCAGGATGGAGCTAGACGGAGCCAGGGCCCAGATGACTGGGCCATTCCAGCCTGGCCTGCCTATCTCTGGACTTCTCAAAATCTGTGAGCCAGAAACAATTCTATTTTGTTTAAGCTCCTGTTACTTTGGATTATTCTGTTTATATGCTGCTAGACCAAATTCTAAACCGGTCCAGAGAGGTTGAGTCATGAGACCTTATTTGCCCACAAGAGATCACGGCTGTTTCAGCCACGGCAGGAAGAAAGTCACCCGTCCAGAACTTACTATGATCCTGACAGGAAGGCCTTTTAGAAAGGGACTGTCATGAGAGCAGATTGTGTTTAAATTCAGAGAAAAGTTTGGCATAGTCCAAAACAGAGCCATTAAAGATGAACACAGGTGGGTGTGCAGTTCGGCCTGGTGTCTCCAAAGCCTTAAAAACAGGCATAGTCCCTGGGGCTCCTGGGTGGCTCCATCGGTGAAGCGTCTGACTTCGGCTCAGGTCATGATCTCGGGGTCCGTGAGCTAAAGCCCCACGTCAGGCTCTGTGCTGATCGCTGGGAGCCTACAGCCTGCTTCAGATTCTGTGTCTCCTTCTTTCCCTGCCCTTCCCCCGCTCACACTCTGTCTCTGTCTCCCCAAAATGAATAAACATTAAAAGTTAAAAAAAAAAAAAAAAAAAAAAAAAAAAAAAAAAAAAAAAAAAAAAGACAGGCATAGTCCCTGAACAGTAAAGACACTGCTGGTAATTTACCCCAGGGAAACAGTCACGTATACGTGAGGACGATCGCTTATTACAGCAACACTGAGGACAAAAAACATGGAAACAACATAAATGCTGGACAGAACAGGCGGCTAAATGTATCATGATCCATCCACAGGACTGCAGTCGCTCAGATCCTGCTTTAGGAGAGCATTCGTGACACAGGCAAAGTGTGCAATGCGTGAGCACACTACTATGCATAGCGTGACCTCCTCCCCTTTCTTTTTTTAAAGAGGGAGAAGAAACCACACACACACACACACACACACACACACACACACACACACACACACACAGAAAAGGGACCTGGTCAGTAAGTCTGTGACAGTGACTCTTGTGAACAAGGAAATAATAGGTGATTCGTATCTTAACCTTTGTGTTTTTTCTGTATTTTTCAAATCTTCCACAACGAACTTGTACTATTTAGTAGGAAAGAATGTGAAAGAGTAGGTTTGGGTGGGGGAGCTAAAAACGAAAGCCTAGCAACACACTGGTGACAGATCCTGCCGAGGGAGAGAGGGAGATATTTAAAGCGCCCAGCGCCCCGCACAAATGGGGTATGGTGCAGCTGGGGGCGGACGCACACTCTGGACCCCAAACCCGGTAGGAGTCCCCGGGGCGCACGGCAGGGCCACAGGGAACGAGGTGAGTGGGCCGGTGGCTCCTGCCCGTCTCCCCTGAAGCTTCCTTCCAATTGAGAGAGAGCTATTGCCATGTATCTTAATTCTACACAAATGCACACACGTACTGCAAAAGACACAGACACAGTGATTGTGGTTTTGAACAATCAACATTTGTTTAAACTGACTCCCACCTCTACCGTGTCTTCTTACTCTTCGTGCCCTCCTGCATCTCCGAGCTTCCAGCTGGGGTCATGGTCTTCCGCCCGGAAAACACCACAGAGACTTGCTTTTACAGGGCACCTTTTACCGCTGAAATCCCTCTCAGTTGACCTGAAAAAACCTTTACTTTGCCTTCATTCTCAATGGAGTTTTGGTTGTGTAGAGTTCAAGGATGACAGATGTTTCCTGTCAGCAGATGAAAGGCCTGGACACCACTGTCCTCTGCTTTTCATTCTGCCTGTTGAGGAGTCGGCTGTTGGTTGAATGGTTGTTCCTTGAGGTGATGTGTCTTTTTTGCCTCTCTGTCTGCATTTAACCTTTTCTTGCTATCTTTGGCTCCCGTGGTTGTGCTGCACGTGTATGGAAGAGGAGCCGGCCTCTTGACGGTGACCCTGGGGATCCCATTCAGTGATACAGCAGTCAGATGCTCGGCGGGAAGGGCTCCAAAGGCTGGCTGATACCAGTTCTGGAAGTTCTGGGATGCGAGTTCCCTGGTGAAAGATGTCTGGGATCAGGCTGTTCTTTTCATCAGCAAAGCCATTCCCCGGAGCCTGAAGTCTGCCACTGCTGCGTGATCAGCCAGGGGCTCCCGGTTCCCTTCGGATCCCCGTAAACATGCACGTTGACAGGGAACAAGGTCCCTCTCCTGGGATGCTTCCAGTGGCCGTGGCCGGCTGGCCTGTGTGGAGCTAACACACAGCAGGAACTTGAGACAGGTGCTTCTTCTAATGGCCTTCTGCCTCCACGTTTCTCCATTCGCTCCACTGTATGTCCACACTGCGTGTCCTCTACATGGTGTTGGTCGTTCCTGGCTTGCTTAACAGTCGGGTTTCTTTTCTTTCTTTTTATTGTTTTATTTTTTTTAATGTTTATTTATATCTGAAGGAGAGAGGGACGGACTGTGAGCGGGGAGGGGTAGAGAGACACAGAATCCAGTGCAGGCTCCAGGCTCCAAGCCGTCAGCACAGAGTCCGATGCGGGGCTCAAACTCAAGAACTGTGAGATCATGACCTGAGCTGAAGTCAGACGCCCGACAGACTGAGCCACCCAGGCGTCCCACAGTAGGGTTTTCACTGAATCTGCTTGGAATTAGTTGGGTTTGACGGCTCTCAGGTTTTGGAAAAACTGGACTTATTTTACTGGTTCTCTCCCTGGCCGTTTCCATTCCGTTGTTCAATCCTCGTTTAACCATTAAGTTCTGGAGATTTTGTAGTTTTCTGTACTAGAATGCCTGATCAGTTCTACAGGATGCCGTGTCACTTTTTAAAGTTTCTAGTTCCCTGATGAATTTGTCATGCCTTGAACATCACGTGCACAGCTTTCGAAGACTTTGTGTCTCCTTGATTTCCATTTCCCGGAGCATCTAAGGGCATGCCTCTCCTGTCTGAAGTTTCTGCTAATTCTCATTTGTATTGTCACATCTCCTATCCCTGCTTCTCTTTGCTTGTATACGGGACATTGTATTTGGAAACCATTATAGAATAATTTGAAGCTTAAGGTATTGTCTTCCTCCAGGGAATATTTTATTTGCAATGCTGGGCAACTTGGGACGTGAGAAGTCCCGGGGCGTCTTAATCCAGGTTGCAGTTATGAAGTTCTCTGGGCCACTCCAGAGCTGGCTTACTCCCAGGTCACCCTTTTTCTTGGGTGGGCTGGACCCCAAAGTGGTGACTGAACCGCCTGGGGCCCCAGTCTTGGCACGCCTTGGATTTGACTTGTGTTCCCCTGCCTCAGCCTCTCAAGTGTCTTAGGATCCTCCCCGGTCCCCCCACAGCAGGAGGAGCCCTGGCATTTGGCTCATCTCTCTAGGTTCCTACCCTCTCCTGGCTTTCAGCCCTGACAGTTGCTTACTCTCTTGATGTTTATACTTGTCAGAAGGTAAGTCCATATTCCCTAGACCACCCTTGCTGTATGTGGAAGTTCTCCTCTGCATATTAAATAGGATGTTAATTGAGAGTGGTCATCCTTCTCTTATTCCTGATTTTAACATGAATGCCTCCAGTGTATATGGGTAAGTTGCTGCCTTCTGGGCCGATACGTCTATTCCATTGTACTAAAGAAGTATTTATTCAGTTTATTGACTGAATGTAACATAGATAAAATGAGTCCCTGTCCTAGGCAGCCCTTAACCCAGTGGTGAGGCACAGCCATAGTGAATTGTTGCTTCTACATCCAACTATCCAACAGCACAGAACTGTCCACTTCCTCCGTCTCCACACGTCCAACCTGCCCAGCCACCGTTGGCCCCCACGTGGCTCCTTCCTTCCACTCCTGCCGCCCCAAGCCCTGGCTTCATGCAGCAAACGGAGTGCACTTTTCTTACCTCTCTTACACACACGTGAAGTTAGTAGTGCAGCGGCCACCCAGTATACCTTCCTCTATATTCAACGATGGTTAACGTCTTGTCGTATCACCCCCCCCCCACCCCTGCAATCACTGGAAAGTACGTTGAAGACATTGTCACACTCTACCCAGCAATACTTTAGGAGATGCCTTCAAAACTAATGGCCACAATACCATTTTCACATAACTATCTAACATCACCTAAAATCCAGTCCTGAGTGAAATTTCCAAATGGCCCCAGTATGTCTTTTAAGTTTTTTAAAATGAGGATCCAATCAAGGTTCATGCTTTGCACTTGGGTTGTTATAATTTTTTATGGATAGTTCTCCATTGTTGTTGTTGTTATTGTTGTTGAAATGACACTGACCTTCTAAAGCATCCAGGCCAGTTTCTCCTGGAACATCCTCCCTTGTGAATTTGGTTGCCTCCTCGAGGTGTGGTTTGACTTGTTCCCATATCCCTCGCATTTTCTGTAACCTGGAAGATTGGTTGCACTGCCCCATACTTTAGCCACTAGCCACATGTGGCTATTGAGTACTTACTAACTGTAAGGGCGCCTGGGTGGCTCAGTTGGTTAAGCATCCGACTTCGGCTCAGGTCATGATGGCTCGAGAGTTTGAGCCCCATGTCGGGCCCTGGGCTGACACACACATTCTGTGTCTCCCTCTCTCTCTGCCCCTCCCCCCGCTCATATGCGCGCACGTGCGCGCGCGCTCTCTCTCTCTCAGAAATAAACAAACATTAAAAAAAAATTTTTTTAAGGTAATAACTCTGAACTGAGATGTGCTGTAAGTACAAAATACACCAGATTTCAAATACTTCGTATAAAGTAAAGAATGTAGAATATCTCATATTTATACTGTTTACTTGTAGAAATAGTATTTGGATATATTGGGTTAAACAAAAATATTAAAAGCAGTTTCTTTTTACTTTTTAAAAATTACATATGTGGTTCACACATTGTGTTGCACGGCTCTGGTCTGGAGGCCAGCTAGGCTCCCATCAAGCCCTTTGGGAAGGAGGCTGCCTAGGTGGGGCTTGTCCCAGGGTCAGGCTGCCCTCTGTCAGCGGGGCCGTGTGGGGTCACTCAGCAGAGCTGGTAACCACCAGATCTCTCCCGTGTAAAGTACCTTTTCCTCTACAATCAGGAGGTCCTTTGTGGCTGTTCTCTGCAGTTCTCCGGACCTGTGAGAATTCTCCGTTACCCAGAAGCCTTCCACCAGTGGGTCTGGCACCCCCCCCGACGAGCCTGGCCCGAGTTGGCTGGGAGGCTGGAGCAGCAGAGGGGTGGCTGTTGCAACTCCCTCGTTTCTTCTGCTTCAGCTGCCTGGCTGTCCTCTCTGAGGGACAGCTTGTCCCCCCATGTCGCATCCATTCCCTCCCTCCCTCCTCTCCTCCCAATCTTAAAAACTGTATGTGTCACAACCAGTTTCACCATTATTCTTTTGTGGAAACTCAAGTTGTCCCCAGTTCAATGCAAGCCCCTTCAAAGTAGCTCCTGTGTCCTTTTGACACACCCCGTCATGTCTCGAGCACTTTCTCATTTTATGTCACAACAAGATGTTCCCAGCCTGTCCTTCCTGCCTCAAACCCGGAATCGGCCATTTCTCTAAGGAGCCCTGACTCTTCGGTACATAATGACGTCTAGAAACGAAGAGCTGGGCTCCACGCATGCTCGCTGCTGTGGGGGTGTCACTGCTTCTGGGCCCTTCAGAGCACGCAGAGCTGGGGATTCATGAGTGGGTATCTCAGTTCAATTATTTTCATTCTCTTTCACTGTAGTAAAATATACAGAGCATAAAATTGACCATTTTAACCATTTTCAAGTGCACAGTTCAGTGGCACCCGATTCAAATTTATTTTAAAGAGTCTTTTTTAAGTTTATTATTTTTCTATTTTTTAATGTTTATTTTTGAGAGAGAGAGAGAGAGAGAGAGAATGAGTGGGGGAGGGGCAGGGGGGGGAGAGAGAGAGAGAGAGAGAGAGAGAATCCCAAGCAGGCTCTATGCTGTCAGTGCAGAGTCTAATGTGGGGCTCAGACCCACAAACCCCGAGATCGTGACCTGAGCCGAGATTAAGAGTCAGACACTCAACCGAATGAGCCCCCCAGGCACCCCTCACATGCCTCGTGTTATAGATGATGAAACACAGACCCAGGAGGGGTGGTGACATGAAATGACGTGCCGAGTCTGCATCACCAGGTCCTGGCGCTGACGCCCCGGGTAAGGTGAGCACTAACGGGAAACTTTGAGTCGGAAACTCTTAACAACAGTATGCTCACAATCCAGCAAGAACCTGAGATGGGCGAGCAAAGATTGGGGACAGCACTAGCCCAGACCGGTACGAACACACGCAAACAGGACTCCAAACACTGTTAGTTGAATAAATTCTTGTCACTTTTCTCAAGAGGGATTTGGCAGCATCCATCAAAAGATTTAAGTACACAAACTATTTGACTTAGCGTCTACTTAAGAGTGTTACTGGGGCACCTGGGGGGCTCGGTCGGTTGGGCGTCTGACTTCAGCTCGGAGATCGTGATCTCGCCGTTCGTGGGTTTGAGCCCCGTGTCGGGCTCTGTGCCGACAGCTCAGAGCCTGGAGCCTGCTTCGGATTCTGTGTCTCCCTCTCTCTCTGCCCCTCCCCGGCTCGCATTCTGTCTCCCTCTCTGTCTCAAAAATAAACAAACATTAGATATTTTTAAAAAAATTTTTAAGTGTTACTCTAGAGACATTATTAGATAAGCACTCAAAGATGGAGGTACAAAGGTGTCAATCAAAGTAATAATATCAAAAAGATGAAATGACCTCAATGTCCAACAGTAAGGCATTGGTAGAAACATTCATACTTTCATATATCAGAATGCCCAAAAGCCATTAAAAAATGACACATTCAGGAGGATGTGGAGAAACTGGAACCCCGTGCACTGTCGGTGGCAATGCAGACTGGGGCAGCTACTGTGGAAAACAGTATGGGGGGTTCTCAATTACCCTACGGCCCAGCAGTCCCGACTCTGAGTATTTACCCAAAAGAATTGGCACCCGGGCCTCAAAGAGATATCCGCCGAATTCATAGCCACCGAAAGGTGGAGACCCAAGCGCCCGTCAGAGGATGGACGGACAAACAGTGTGGTCCATCCACACAATGGAGTGTTATTCAGCCCTAAAAAGGAAGGAAATCCCGGGGCGCCTGGGTGGCTCCGTCAGTTAAGCTTCCGACTCTTGATTTCGGCAGGTCACGATCTCACAGCTCATGAGTTCAAGCCCTGAGTCTGGTTGAGTGCTGACAACATGGAGCCTGTGTGGGCTTCTCTCTCTCTCCCTTTCTCTCTCTGCGCCTCCCCCCTCCCCCACCCTGGGCAAATAAATAGGTAAACATTAAAAAAAAAAAAAAGGGGAAGGAAATCCTGCCACCTGCCACCACCTGCATGAACCGTGAGGACACTATGCTCAGTGAAATGAGCCAGTCATGAAAGGACAAATAGAGTAGTTAAATTCAGAGAGACAGAAAGGACATGGTGGGAGCCAAGGGCTAGGGGGAGAAAGGAGAGTTGTGTTTAATGGGGACAGAGTGTCAGATTCACATCAGTCTAGAGATGGGTGGTGGTGACGGTTGCACAACAATGTGAATATACTTAATGCCAAACTGGACACTTAATGTTAAGGGGGTACATTTTATGTATATGTATGTTTTGCCACTGAAAAAATAAAGAAAAAGAAATACTTCATTTCTTTTTTTAAATTTTATTTTATTAAAAAAATTTTTAATGTCTATTTAATTTTTTGAGAGAGAGAGAGACACACACACAGAATCCAAAGCAAGCTCCAGGCTCTGAGCTGTCAGCACAGAGCCCTACACAGGCCTCAAACTCATGAACCGCGAGATCATGACCTCAGCCGAAGTCAGATGCTTAACCAACTGAGCCACCCACGTGTCCCAGAAATACTTCATATCTAATGAAAATCTTTACCAGAAGAAAAACCTAGTTTTTGATGAAACTGACAGGGAACTTTGAAGACATTTTTGGTGGGAGAGGAAATTTTAAAAATTTTCAGAAGGGCAGTTTGTTCTCATAGGTATATAATATACATTCTTTTAAAATGTCCATATACCTTTTTTTAGTATGTAATTGTGCTTTATTGGGGGAAAACAAATAATTTTTACAAGACAATGTTTATTTTTATCTGTTTTTTTTTTTAGTTTTTTTTTAAGTTCATTTATTTGTTTTAAGAGAGAGAGAGAAAGAGCATGAGCAGGGGACAGGCAGAGAGAGCGAGAGAGGGAGAAAGAGAATCCCAAGCAGACTCCACTGTGTCAGCACAGAGCCTGACACGGGGCTTGATCTCATGAACTGTGAAATCACGACCTGGGCCGAAATCAAGAGTCAGTCACTTAAACTGCCTGAGCCACCCAGGAACGCTTGTTTATTCTTACCTTAGTAATAAACAGATGTGGTCAACGGAAAAGGGCAGACAGTGCTTATAAAGAAAACAGCATGCCTCTGTCCCTTTTCCACCCATCCCAGTGGAAATGGGCAGAAAGCCCATGGAAAGCCACTTGGAATTGCTTTAGCTCTTTCTTGCAGCGTTTACATCAACCGTTCATACACTTTAACCGAAGGATCCCCTGCTACAAATCTACCTTAGAAACACTAACATGTGCACAAAGATAACAGTACAGGGATGTCCATCCCATTGGTGTTTATAGCAGCAAGAAAGCTGCAAACAATGATTGTGTGGATTGTCTGATACATGGTGGCCTAAATGTGCAGTAAAAGATGATATTTAAATGACATGGCAAGAAACAAGTTAACTACAAATTACATAAATATAGAATAAACTGCTGATAGGGATTATCTTTGGACAGTGGCTGATATTAAAGGTGAATTTTTCACTGTGTAGCCTTTACTTTCAAAACTCTCTTCAATACATGTGTACTTGCTTATAACCAGAGAGGGAAGACAAGTCGACACGTGATGTTCCGGTCTGAAAAAATCCTCCCTAGATTTCTTGCCTCAGTCAGGACTCTTCGCTTGGTCTTGGAGACACTCAGCTCAGACTGGCTTAAGCAGGAAAAAAAAAAAAAAACAAAAAGGAAGAAAGGACTGAACTGGTCCCTGGAGCTGTGCACAGCCCCCCAACCCTGAGGGCAGAGGACCCCTCAGGCTCCCCTGGGGCCGGGGCTCTGCAGGCAGGTGGCTCCACCCCCACGAGGGGCAGGAGTGTCCTCGGAAGGGATGAAGGCAAGCTGGAGGACCACCGCCCCTGTGCCCACACTGATGGAAGTGTCCGGAAGGCCTCAGAACGTAAACAGGTGGTAGGAATAAAGGTGATTTTTATTTTCTTTAGACTTTTTTTTAGAAAATTTTTTAGATTAGTCTGATTTTTTAGAAAATTAGCCTGTAATTTTTACCAAGAGCAAGCATTACCCTCCCACAGTTACTAACATATTTACTGAGCGGGTAGCACATACCAAACGCTCTACTGAATGCTTTACAAAGATGCTGAAGTTTCTGTCCCCACCTCCTGCCGTCTCCATTCTGGAGACGAGGGCCCCCATCTGAAGAGAAGCCATCCCTAAAAAAAGGTAACTTCTCTCTCCCCTCACCTGGGTATAAAGCACGCTCGGGATCAACGTCTGCTGGTCTCCAAGGACAGGCCAGGCGGGGGCTTTCCTTGAAACACTGGCCCAGCGCTACGGTGCTCCAGCGGCTGACAACACGCGTGGAAAACCAATTTCAGACACGCCGTGATGCCGACGGCACTCAGAAGCACCTCCGGGCGCAAGTCTCCACCAAGGCAGAGCAGGCGGCCGTCCCCCTGGGGACACGCGGCGGACCCTGGCTCACTCTCCTGCACACCGCCGTGGGGTGGTGTCCCAGCGTCCAGAACAAGTCCTTGCCGTTGGCTCAAGTCGCCGAGGTCTGGGCCCTGGCTTCTCACCCCACAGCCCCCGCTGAAGGCCACACACACGTGGATACGGGAGAAAGCGCCAGTTCTGCACCTAGGGGCCACCCGCAGAGGTCTGTGTGCACCCCACCCCCGGGGGCTGCACAATGCCTGTGGGTGTGAGCGCCCCTCCCTGGGGCAACAGAGCCCACGTTTCCACCTGAGGTTTGGGGCTCCGCCTTCTTCTCTGGGCATCAGGGGCTGAAGGAGAGTTACTGACCTCAGAATTCTGGGGGCTCCTGCCGGCTAGGCGCCAACCAGCGCTTGGAAGGGGGCTCCTCGCTCACGACCACCTCCCACCTGTGCGTCAGGCCGGGGAGCCCCGCAGTCCCAGAGACTCACTGGGGCTGCCCCGGTTGGGTGAGTCACCGCTGCCAGCCACGCCCTGGCCTCAGGGTGCTGGAAACACCCCTGGAAGGTGCACAGCAGCCACAAGGACAGGCACACAGGCGGAGACACGCCCTGGCGGGAGAATCTTGGTGACTAAGGTGCAGATGTCAGCCTGAACGCAAGCGGGCGAAGGCTTTGTGACGCCGGGGCCCTGGGGAAGGCAGGGCCGGCCTGTGCTCCCCCTCAATGACACCGGAGGGCACTCTGGGCTGAGGAACAGGACCCTCAGCTCGGGACACTGGTGGGCGGATGCCCAAGCCCTCCCCTCTCCCCTCTCCGTGGCACAGGTCCACCCCTGGGGGGTCTCAGCATCCAGGTGGTCCACAAGGGCCTTCGTCTTCAACCCGGCTTTGGTGACAAGGTGATTCACGTATGAATATAGAGACGTCTGCAGACTCATGAGGCTCTCATTTTACGAGGTGTCACGTGTTTATTGCTGTTCACAGATGGGGTCAAACACCACGCTCGTGCTCCTGGGCGCTGGGGCCCGGCTCTGCAGTGAGTGGTCACACCACTGAGGGCAGCTCTTCCTTGTCGCTGGGGACACCGCTAATGCAGCCCTGCAACACGGCAGAGTGGCCGGGTCAATCTCTTACCCGCTCGGCTGGCTCAGCTCTCCTGTGCTGGACGCGCAACTTTACAACCGCGGGGAGGGGGACCAACTTTAGGGCTGAGTTTCACACTTCCTCTCATCACCTCACGGTAGGGAAGCTGCTCAGTTCACACACACACACACACACACACACACACACACACACACACACAGCGTCTCAGATTCGGTTTCTCTGTCACATACCCAACTGCAATTCCTCAACCCTGAGCTGGGCCTGCAAGGAAGGAAACAGGGCCCGGGCTCCCCCTGCGAGCACCAGGTGGCGCAGAGCGGCCCCTCCCGCACCAGGACACCACAGCTGCAGGTGTCCCTGCCCGGCAACCTGCTCGCCTCGGCTCAGGCCTGCATGTGGAGCGTGTCCAGACACGACTTCCTGCGCATGGACAGACCGACCGTGCTAACGCACACCTGGCCCCCGTTCTCCAAGGAAGCGTGGTCATGGTGGACATGCCCGATAGACCTTTCCCACCCAAGGCGTGTTTTTCACACTGAACAAAGATGGACTCGAATGTTAGTGGACAAGCTCTGAACGAGGCCTTCGAGAACGGACAGGGCACCAAGCAGGATAAGCCGCTAGTCCAAGGAGAACTGCACTAGGAGGAAACATTTCTAGATACGGCCCGCGAAGTGTCTCCGAACCACTCCTCCAGGTTCTCTGTGAAAGCAGGCTAGCGAGGGAGCGGCTGTGAAGTCAGAACGGGCACGGAGTAATCTACATGGCGTATACCGTTTCCAGACTGTTCTCCACGACACCGATTTTGGAGTACGCTTAAGTGCTTTGTCAGTGAGAGAGGGATCTGCTTCGGAGGCAGGTAAGCCCTTTTCCTTTTTGGATCAGAACAGTCTTCGTACCAACAGCAAACGCCCTTGTGAGGGTTTTTGAGCCCCCGTGGGGCTCAAATAGCACCACATTGCCAGAGCACTTAAATTATGTTTCTTTGCTTTTAACACGTCACATTTTTTAAGAATCCAAAGTAACAACATGCTTTTTGTTCTTACCCCTCTTCTGAGGAGTCTGTAGAAGAAGCCTCTCTTTGGTTTGGGAACTGGGTGGCTCAGTGTCTCTTGTAGATCCAGTGCCTCATATTCTCCAGTGTCACTTTCGTTGATGTCCTTAAAACAACCCGATTCGATCACCTGCATCCACAGAGAAGTGGGGGACACCGCGAGGTCAGTCGGCCACCCCCCCAACCCCGGCAACCGTGCCTGGCACTCTGGGGCCACCCCCATTCCCGTCCTCTTTCCTGCTTGCTGACTCCTTCTCAGGGTCCCTGACCTGGCCTCCTCCTCCTCTCCCTGAGCGCACCCCCAGAGCAGGCCAGTACCGTGGGCGCCGGGCACCGGCCAGGCCCGCTTTCGAAGTGAGACCCTTCGTGGACAACTATCCCCTTCCTGTGCGTAATGTTACCTCCAAGCACACGCACACACACACACACACACACACACACACACACACACACACACACGTTTCCTCCTGGCATCGTACCCCGTAGAAACCCGCAGTACCTCGTTCTGCCAGGGGATGGAGACAGAGCCTGTGGCAAATTGGCTGTAGAAAGTATCATCTGTGGTGTCCAGGTAGACTCCCCTCACCGTGGAGAACTGGTCGATATCCACGACATCCTTACAATACACTGCCTTCGGCTGTGTGCAAAGAACAAAAAGGCGTTGGCCTCTGAGATGACTGGAATCAATCTTAGTTTCCTTAATTACTAAGAACACGACGCATATGAAATGGACCCATTCTGGGGCGCCTGGGTGGCGCAGTCGGTTAAGCGTCTGACTTCAGCCAGGTCACGATCTCGCGGTCCGTGAGTTCGAGCCCCGCGTCAGGCTCTGGGCTGATGGCTTGGAGCCTGGAACCTGTTTCCGATTCTGTGTCTCCCTCTCTCTCTGCCCCTCCCCCGTTCATGCTCTGTCTCTCTCTGTCCCAAAAATAAATAAATGTTGAAAAAAAAATTAAAAAAAAAAAAAAGAAATGGACCCATTCACACTGTATCTGAAGCCTTTCCCTTCTCCAGGGAAGTCTCCTCAGTCGCAGGCCCTGTGGATGCCCTCTGGCCCGAAAACCTCCTGAGGCCCCCGCCCTCCTCTTTTCTGCAGTGGAAGGTGGGTTACAGGCAGAGGCAGGGATGAGGAATGGCAGGGCGGAGTCCCACCTGTGCCTCCAACCCTCGGCCTCCTTCACGTGAAGCGCCCTCTGCAAAGACTCAGTGGAAAACAGCAGGTCCCGCCTCCCCACCTGCTGTCAGAGGTCATCTAGTGGTCGGGAGCCGACCCCTCCTCTGGGACAGGAGCCCAGGCCAGCTGCCCTGAGGATCAAGCAAGCAGGGCGGGGCCAAGCCTGGGCCGCCGCCTCCTCCGTGCAGCCGCCTGTGCTTCTGGAAATAAGGCGTCGGCAGCTACAGACCAAACCGTGATAGTGCAAGAGGCACTGGCAGTTCTGAGAAATGTCCTGCCCACGTGCCGGAACCTGCCCAAAGAAGTGACATTCCATAGGTTGCCGGTCAGCACACGTCAGAGCAGTGCTATCCGTTCAGTCCCCACACAGCGGGGGAAGGGAGCAAATGGTGGCCACACTCAGGAAGCAGTCCACGAGAGGCCGAAGGCCCAGAGCCCCGTCCTGCCCCCCCCCCCAATAGACAAAACTGCCTACCCCACTGCCACCGGACTCCCCTGTCAAGTGGCCCCCACGGGCTCCTCTGGTTACGTTCAGCACAACACGCAGAACAGCCCCGGAGCCGGGACCCGCCAGGGCCTGCCCCAGGCTCGCCGGTGTGGCAAGGGCATCCCCGCCCCTCCCCGGAGAAGACCGCCTGCCTTCCCTGCTCCTCTCGGACCGACGGCCCGTCTCAAGTCCCTGCGGCACACAATCACTAGCCAGGGGGTTGGCCAGTTGTAACAAAGGTTGCCAGTTTGTAACCTGTCTCCCTGCCTATGTCCGCAGGCTGGATCGAGCTCCACGGCAGCGAGACCCGGCTCTCCTGTTCTCCCTGTGGCCTCAATCCCGAGATCTGTGTCCTGCGGGTAGCAGGCACCCCATGGATCTGTAGCTCGTGAGCTAATTCAAAGGAGGGAGGCACCGGATAACGCACTGGAGTACGGAATAAACACCCTAAGCCCTGAATCACACCCTGCAGAACTCTCTCCTCTTCACAGGTCTGTGCTGTGCCTGCAGCAGGCGGTTCAGGAGAGAGTGCGGACTGCTTGCTGCTCATTCGTTCACACTTCCATCCACAGGAGCTCATGCCTGGTGTTCCCACAGGCGTGGCTGCAAACCGGGCTCTGGGCGCGGCCCCCGCCGCAGGCTCACGAGGAGACTCACAAGGAGGCTCAGGGGACCTCCAGGGCTGCCGGTGTGGAGCCAGGAACCGGGAGATGCATACAGGGCAAGTGCTTCCCAGACTAAAGAGGCAGGCGTGCCCGCGCTGACACAAGAAAGGGGACGCCGGAACATGCAAGGCCTTGCCGGGCCCGCCGAGAAGGCTGTGGGGTGGTGCTGAGGTTATGAGTGGGGCAGGGCCAGGCTCAGCTGCCACGAAGGCCCGTGAGGGCCCGTGAGGACAGTGTGGTGCGTGGCGGGGGCTGGGGAAGGGGGTCCAGGGTGGGGCACCCCGGGCACAGCCGGGCTGCACCAGGTGACTCTGTATCTGCTGGAACAAAATCACTGGGTCACATGACCCCCTGCTCCTCTCTAGACAACGTACTTACATCAGGACAGAAAGGGGGATCCAACATATTTGCTTCCAGCTTCTTGAAGTTAATGTCCTTGAACACGGGGTGTCCCTTCACTTCCGCTGCTCCACCGCTGAAGCCCAGCCGTTGTCTGGGATTCTTGGTGAGTAACTGTGCCAGAGGCAGAAGCGAAGTCAAGTTAAGCTCCTGGGACGCGAGAGAGAACTCAGAAAATCTCCGCAATAAGAACCAGGGAATTAGGGGTAGCAAAGAGCACGTCCATCCAAACAAAGTTACGCAAATTTCAAAGTTTCAACCAAACCTCGTTAATTCAGATTTCTCTACTTTAGAATGCATGGTGCTTCAAAAAAAAGTGGAAGCTAATAAAATAACCCTTGAACCACCAGCAAATAAAGCGTGGGCTAAGTAAACCTTTGAGGAAGAATTTTAGCCATGGAAAAATTAAGGGGCTTTTTTTAAAGGAAAAGAAACCGTCAAGAACGTCCGATATGCCATTTTAATGCTATGTTATGTTTATAACCAGAAAGTTCTTTATTCATTAACTAGATCACTGAGGAACTCAGATGAGGCAGAATTTTGGCAAACCTAGTTCTGGAAATTGTATGTTCTTTTTTTTTTTTTTTTTTTTTAATTTTTTTTTTTTCAACATTTATTTTTATTTTTGGGACAGAGAGAGACAGAGCATGAACGGGGGACGGGGGAGAGGCAGAGAGAGAGGGAGACACAGAATCGGAAACAGGCTCCAGGCTCTGAGCCATCAGCCCAGAGCCTGACGCGGGGCTCAAACTCACGGACCGCGAGATCGTGACCTGGCTGAAGTCGGACGCTTAACCGACTGCGCCACCCAGGCGCCCCAAGGAAATTGTATGTTCTTAAAGTGATCAGGCAGCACCTCTTCCTAAAGTGTTCCTTACTCACACACTCATCATCGTCACCAATTCAAAGAGGTTCATCCACGGTTACTATCAGTCAGTAAGGCTGGGGGTGCTCAAAGCAACATGGGAGGCCGGGGCCTCTAAAGCACAGTGGAGCCAGCCTGGGGAGCCCCTGAGCTTGTACCTAAGGTTTTATCGGAGCACAGCCGGGCCGTTACCTGAGCTGGGCCCAGGGCCGCTTCTGCACTGGAGCGGTGAAGGACCAGCTGTGAGAGGGACCTGTGAGGCCCAGGCACCTTTACTCTCTGGCCCCTCACAAGAAACTTTGCTGGGGCGCCTGGGGGGGCTCAGTCGGTTGAGCGTCCGACTTCAGCTCAGGTCACGATCTCACAGTGCGTGAGTTCGAGCCCCGCATCAGGCTCTGTGCTGACAGCTCGGAGCCTGGAGCCTGCTTGGATTCTGTGTCTCCCTCTCTTTCTGCCCCTCCCCTGCTCACAGTCTGTCTGTCTGTCTGTCTCTTTCTCAAAAATAAATAAACATTTACAAAAACAAAAACCAGGAAAGTTTGCCGACCTTGGCCTCGCCTCGCCGCCAGCACCCACTTTTCTGAACAGAAATCAACTCCCAGTGCGACGCACGCCTACCTCGTTCACCTCCGCAGACCCACGGCCCTCATGTGCACTGTGCCCTCCGTCTAGAAGAGTCGTGGCCTGGCTCTCTCAGGCTCCAGCTTCCCACCTCAGACCTCCCTCGGCATACCTGTCACGACTGCTGTGACCACATCACGTGGGGAGCTGCTTGGAACAAAGCCTCCAGGGCCGGGGGTGGGGGGGGGACTCCCGCTCACTGCTGTGGCCCCAGCACCCAGCCGGGGCGACAGCTGAGTAAGATTCACTCAGTGCAGCTACCCCTCGCACACTTCGTTAATTCGAAACAGATCTGGAAACTAACTGTGGTACCAGATACAATCCCCACATCTCAGGGCTCCGTGACTCCACCATCCAGCCCGTTGCCAACACACACCCATCCAGTGGCCTTGGACTTGTGGTCAGAGAGCTCGGTTGGGATCAAGTCTGCCCACCGCCGTTGACGATGGGACATCACGAAAATCAAACTCTTAACTTTTCAACTGTGAGGCGAAGAAAATACCCCAGAAATCCACCATGAGATTAGATGAGACAACCTGTCAAAGAGTTTTGAAAACTACAGAAAGGTGCCCACGTGTCAGGCGCCACTCTGACCTCCTGCTTGAGTCACCGTAAACAGCCGGCGTTTCCTCTTCCCTGCCTTCTGCTCTGTCGAGCACAAGTGCAACACCCTGAACTCACACCAAGTCCGGGTCACGCGCTCGTCACAGGGGCAGAGTGCTGGGGGCAGGCAGAGAGGGTGAGGGGCCCCGCAGAAGCCTGCAGCACCACTCCCCGCCCCGGCAAGTCCCTGTCCCCAGAGGTGCCGTCCCCCTCGACTGCCCCTTGCCTCCCAAGACGCCCCTTCCTCTGGTCCTCGCTTGCTGGCACTGAACCCCCTCTCCAGGAAGCAGCCGCTGCCGATCTGTGTTGCCAGGACCGGCACACACACAGCTGCACCGCCTCCCGGCCAGCCTGTGGAGGAGAGGTCGTCACCACCCACAGCTTAGGGGCGAGAAACCAGAGGTGCCGGCAGGGAAACCCGGCACGGGGAGCGGACACGTGGCCCCTGGCACAAGCTCCAAGCCAGAGCCGCCAGCCCCAACACAGGCACTCAGGCGGGCACCGCCTTGCTCCCCGGCACCCCTAGCAGAGAAGAGCACTTCTCCAGCCTGAAAAGCCCTGAGTCCTGGTTTCTTCCTTGTTGACGGCACCTGTCAAATCCTGCTCTTCCACTACAGTTCTTTTTCACGTTAGGTCTACGCGTGCATTCCTTAGGGGCAGGCTCTTCCAACTCCATATTTTTACATTCCCACCGCCCTTATCAGTGCCTGGCAGATCACAAGCACTCGGTCAAATAGCAGCTTGGCCAGAGTGCCGTTAAACGTGGAGGCGCTGACCCAACACTGCCAGCTCCCAGCAGAATGAGCTGGCGGGGAGAAAGGCCAGCCTGCTTCTGCTGTCTGGTGACAGGCCACAAACATTGGTCACATCATATACGGAAACAACAGGGGAGGGAAAACAAAACAGGTACTCTCCAGCCACCGACAACTCACTGAAGTTACTGATCTACTCAGTATAGCGGCTGTTGGTCCCACACCCACTTGGGGACCCACGCCCGGCCTCTCTGTGGCCTCCTCACCAACGACCTGGTCCTCCGCCCCCCATTCCTGCCACTCTCTCTCCCTAGACTCTTCGTGACCAGCCAGACCTCCTGTCCTCTCCACACGCTCCCCCAGACTTTCCGACTTTGGCAAGGAGGGACCAGACTCCAACGAGCTGGGCCCCCACCTTGCCTAGAGCCCGCCAACTCTGCCCCTTCCCTTGAGCCCCTCTTCCTCACCCTCCTATAACCCACTTCGATTCCACTGTCCATCAGTCAGCCACCCCTCGGCCTCCGCCCAACCCCACAGCCTCGTAGGGCCCTTCACACATCAAGGAAGGTGGCAGGCACGTGGCAGGCCATCAGGTCAAGGTGTCTGCTTGACCATGATTCCTGGCAGTAGTTAAAGAGGAAAGAAACATGAAAAGACACAAAAAACCTCACTGTTTCTAAGATACCGAAGATGCTGCTTTGTCTTTACTTTTGCAGGAAATGATGACCTTGGCCCCACCTTCCCTGTCAGGTGCGTCTTTGGAGAAAGCAAACAATGACTGCTCTGCTTTGCTCCCGTTGGCTGAAGCCCAGTCGCGTCGTTTCCCCGGGCAAGGGCAGGACGTGTGGCGCCAGCCTGGCGCGGAGACTGCTGGGTGTCCCCAGCGCTGGTGGCAACAACTACAATGAGGCAGAGGGTGTCTCCCAGCCCGGCCCCCCTGGAGCCCGACCCACCATCCTGCAGACGGACTTGGCGTCCTCGGAAAACTTCCTGGAGTACTCCTCTGTGTCCTTCTTCACTCTGCGCTCGACTTCCTGTCGCTTGACCTTCTCTTTGAACTTTTTGAATGGAGAATGTCCCTGAATCATTTCATATATCAGGCAGCCAAGTCCCCACCAATCAGGACTAAATGTATAGTTTTCATTATTGATAACTTCAGGAGCTACACAGCAAATACAGGAAATGTAAATTAAGTTTTGGTTTTAAATTTTCTTGCAATTACTTACAAATAAAACACTATAAATTTAACATTTTCTACAACACGAACCTCGGAAATGTGTTAAGGGAAAGAAGCCGGACGCACATGGCCCAAGAGTATGTGATTCCACGCACATGAAGCAGGCGGAACAGACCAGTCTGCAGGGGCTGGGGCGGGAGGGGGTGCTGATGGGCGCGGGGTCTCTTTCTGGAGGTGAGGGCAACACCCTGTGGTGGTTGCACAGCTCCGTGAGCATGCTGAAACCCGCTTCAGAGTGGTGGACTCAACGGTGTGGGACTCATGTTTCAACAAAGCGGTTACTGGACACGGTCTGTACGATCCCGGAGCGTGGAACAGACAGCCACAGAATAAGGGCCACGGGGAAAGCGGTGCTCCGGGTAAGACCCCGCTCCTGAGGAGCGCGCCCCCTCAGACACCCAGAAGCATGCCCATGGGCACCCCACGGGCATCGGCCGCCTATTCCCAACACGGGAAGACCCCGCAGCAGGCGGTAGCACACACAGTGGGGGCGTGGGGCTCTCGGGGTCCCTCCTGCTGGAGGCCACCCCTGGGTCAGGCTGGCACTGCTGGGCTGGGAGCTGACCCCAGGCCAGGGCCTCCCGCTCACAGAGGCTTTGCAAAAACCAGGGAACGGTGGATTCACGAGGGGCCTGAGAGGCCAGAGGGCACAGCGTGGGGACTGTGGCAGTGAGGGGGCCCCGTCCTGTCCCGATTCTGCCCTCCCTCAGCTGTGTGACCCGGCAGGCCTCACACCCCGCCTCTGTGAGACAGGAGGGCAGACGGAGGGCTCCTTCCGCAGTCCTGGCCCTGGCGCCCGTGCCCCTCGAGGCGGCCTGGACCTGGTCTCGGGTGTGTTCTGGGCATGCAGCACCTGGGGAGAGGGCGAGGCCCTCCAAGCGGCCCCTCACATACCCATGTAGCCGACGGTCCCCACTCTTCCTCGGACGGTCCGGCCCTCCGGGACCTCCACGGCTAAACCCAGGTCTGAGATCCGGATGTGCCCTGTGTGTTCAAGCACATCACACAAACCACACGGGGTGTGCCGACACATCAACGGCAAAAAACCATGGGGGAAAACCTAAAATTACGTGTACCTTCTCCGTATTCCGTAAGACGGTATGCGGTTCCACTAACACAACAGGAAACCAGATTTACAGCTGCCTACTGACCAGGAAGCCCTTTAACTACAACCACTTGATGAGACAGAAGCATTGCATTTATTATTTTATATCCTATAAATAAAACTGTAATGCATAGTACATGAACTACACAATCGAAAATAAACACTTTTGATCAGAACACCAGGAAGCTTATATGCAGGGACAACAACAGATGAATAAGGAGTTTTTCTCTGAAGAACAAATTGTAATAGCAAAATAATAAATAAAAATCAAGGAAATTCATTTAAAAGACTGTTATGGGGGCGCCTGGGTGGCTCAGTCGGTTAAGCGTCCGACTTCAGCTCAGGACATGATCTCACAGGTCCGTAGGTTCAAGCCCCATGTCGGGCTCTGTGCCGACAGCTCGGAACTGGAGCCTGTTTCGGATTCTGTGTCTCCCTCTCTCTCTGCCCCTCCCCCACTCATGCTCTGTCTCTCTCTCTCTCTCTGTCTCAGAAATAAACATTAAAAATTTTTTTTTAAATTTTTTTAAAGACTATGTTATGTGTTAATGCCTGTATGTAGAAAGATTTAAGTAGTTATTAAATTCCTTATGAAAATAACAACTTCTAGAAAGTTTTCTTTTCAGAGTCTAGAAAGATAAACCAGCCCTGGAGGCAGACACCCTGGTCACCATGTTCACCAGGTGTCCCCAGCTTCTGACACAGCGTCTGCATATAGTAGGTGGTCAATAAATATTTATTGAGGAAGTGAGTGAATCAACCAATAAATGTGTGCTGAGCATTGAAAATACACAACATACTGTTCAAGGCCCTGGGGCCGTTTTACAACAGTCCACATTATGCTCTAGATGGAAGGAGGACTCTCCCTTAGCGTGCCTGCCACCAGGAGTCACACCATTCCCTGCCCACCATGGGGGAGGCCGGAGGCTGGGGGGCACAGATTCTGGAGCCACGCGGCCCAGACGGGAGTCCCAGCTCTGCCACTTATTAGCATGTCTCAGTTTCCTGCTTTCATACAGAAAGATTTCCTCAATAAGGCAGCTTTTATGTATTTTGTGTTTAAGTACAATACTGGCACGTCGTGAAATTTTAAGTAACCTTTCTTACTTTTCTTTTAAAAAGTGATTTTTTTTTAACTGGGGCATGAAAAGCAAAACTGCTGACAAACTGTGTTTGAGAACACGGCCTGTTGTGCAGACCGCGGGGAAGCGGGTGCACACACACCTTCCTAACGGGCACACAGACCAGCATAGACGGACAGCCCCCTCACGAAGAATTTGGCAACGTCTGTACAACTGCATGTGAACCCATCCTTCAGCCTCACATCCCCCAGGAGTCTATCCCAAGGACACACTAGATAAGGCAGGAAATGGCACGTGGACAAATTTATGCAGTAGAAATAGCAGAAGACGGGGAACAGCCTGCTGTCCGCCAGTGTGCACCGGGCAGATCCTGCTGGCCCCTCCACAGGCAGGCGGACAAGCGGGTAAGCAAGGTCTCTATTTGGTGTTGTAGAGTGGTCCATGTTACATATTAAAGAAGCAAAGTGGGGGCGCCTGGGGGGCTCAGTTGGCTGAGCATCCGACTTTTGTTCAGGTCATTATTTTGCGGGTGCGTGAGTTCAAGGCCTGCACCAGGCTCACTGCTGTCAGCCTGTCAGGGAAAAGCCCACTTTGGATCCTCTGTCCCCCTCTCTCTGCCCCTCCCCTGCTACCACTCTGCCAAAAATAAATATTTTTTAAAAGGAAAGACAGAAAGAAAGAAAGAAAGAAAGAAAGAAAGAAAGAAAGAAAGAAAGAAAGAAAGAAAGAAAGAAAGAAAATAAGAAAGAAAGAAAGAAAGAAAGAAAGAAAGAAAGAAAGAAAGAAAGAAAGAAAGGAGAGGGAAATACTCTAATCATATTAATGTCATTAGGAACTAATATTTTCAGCATTAGGATTAAAAAACCCAAATGTGAAGTGGGTGGCTTTTAGTCAGTTGCCGCGTCCGACATCAGCCAGGTCACGATCTCGGTCCGTGAGTTCAAGCCCGCTGTCAGGTTTCTGGCTGATGGCTCGGAGCCTGGAGCCTGCTCCCGATTCTGTGTCTCCTCTCTCTCTGCCCCTCCCCCGTTCATGCTGTCTCTCTCTGTCCCAAAAATAAATAAAAAACGTTGAAAAAAAAAATTAAAAAAAAAAACAAAACCCCAAATGTGAAACAAAGAAGTTAAATGAGAATTGGAAATATCAACACAAATTCATGATGAATATTTTCTTTTAAAACAACGTTTTAAAAAAGTTTTTTTAGGGGCGCCTGGGTGGCACAGTCGGTTAAGCGTCCGACTTCAGCCAGGTCACGCGATCTACCATGGTCCGGTGAGTTCGAGCCCAGCGTCGGGCTCTGGGCTGATGGCTCAGAGCCTGGAGCCTGTTTCTGATTCTGTGTCTCCCCTCTCTGCCCCTCCCCCGTTCATGCTCTGTCTCTCTCTGTCCCAAAAAAATAAATAAACGTTAAAAAAAAAAATTTAAAAAAAAAAGTTTTTTTAATGTTTATTTTATTTCTGAGGGAGAGAGAGAGACATACACACACACAGAATCAGAAGCAGGCTCCAGGCTCTGAGCTGTCGGCACACAGCCCGATGCGGGGCTCAAACTCAGGAGCCGTGAGATCATGACCTGAGCCGAAGTTGGACGCTTAACCGACTGAGCCACCGAGGCGCCTCTAAAACAATGTTTCCAAGAACAATGTTTTCTAGGAAGAATGACCATCATGGCATCAAAGAACATCTTAGCACCCACACTGTGCTCTCACAGAGCTGCTTTCCACACAGAGGACCAGGGCCCTTCAGAGAAACAGTTGATTCCAGGCCTTGGTCAGCACACGTGCAAGGTAATCCTAGAACATCTTTAATAAGAAACAATAACAGAAAACAAGGAAGTTATTAAAGGCTACTGGGCATCCACTGGCTGAAGATGGGACAAAAAACATCAAAAACATCAAAAAGAATAATTACTCGAATGGATGAAACCATATCAACATGTTAAAATCCATACGTTCATAATGATACCAAAACAGAACAAAAACCTCATGAGCATCTTGGAGAATGATAGAGAACACAGTACTCTGAAAAGTGGAAATAAAAGACGTGTTCAAGTATTTCACCCGCTTTTCCTGAACAAACAGGTAAACGACGTTCCTTTTTCCAGATGAATCTCAACAGATAAGTGCCAAAGGAGTGACGGAATTAGAATAGCACCATTGTACAATCCTGGAGAAATGATGGGTCTTGATGTCGATCATTAAGCCGTTAAGTGAAACGCGGTGGGGAACGAATAATGGACGGATCAGGCTGACAAAGCATCTGAGAGCACTCATCAATCTGAACACCATAAAAAGAGAGATGCTCAGGCATCATATGCCTCCTGATGTAGTACAACAGGAGTTACACACACAGTGTGCTCACCAAAAATCAAATCTGGACCTATTGCAGCCTCCAGATCTAACTACTGGCTTCCAGGGAAAGTAGGGCAGTAGGAAACGTGTTAAATCCAGCCAAGTCCAGAACACAGGAAATTCTACGGGACAAATGTCTGTGTACTCGTGTGGCAGGGCGGCCATAACCCAAGTGCCACAGGCTGGGGGCCCTCGGCAAGATATTTACTTCCTCACAGCCCTGGAGCCTGGAGTCCCAGACCAAGAGCCCGAGGGCGGGCGGCCTCTCCGCTCGGGGTGTAGAGGACCGCTCTTGCCCTGTGTCTTGACAGTGTCCCCCACCCCATGCATGCGTGTCTTAACCCCTCCTCTTGCAGGAACACTAGTCAGATTCAATCAGGACTTTCCCCAGCGGCTTCCGGCAACTCTAATCACATCTTTAAAGACCTTAACTCCATTGAGCTGCGAACAACACGACCTTGAACTACGCGGGCGCACTCATTCGTGTGGTTTTCTAAATATAGGACAGGGCTATGAATGTATTTTCCTTAGGATTTTCTTAACATTTTTTTCTCTGGCTTACCTCATTGTAAGAATACAGTATATAATATTATGACATATAAAATATGTGTTAATTGACTATTCATGTTATTAGTAAGGCATCTGGCCAACAGTCGGCTATTAGTAGTTAACTGTTATTGTTTTTGTTGTTGTTTTTAAGTAGGCTCCACGCAACATGGGGCTCGAACTCACGACCCTGAGATCAAGACCTGAGCTGAAATCAAGAGTTGGTCACTCAACCAACTGAGCCACCCAGGTGCCCCAGTAGTTAAGTTTTGAGGAGGGTGAAAAATGATCTGAGGATTTTTGACTGCGTGGGAGTTGGTGCCCCTAATCCCCATGTTGTTCAAAGGTCCACTACATAGTCACGCTCTGAGATACTGTGGGTTAGGGCTACACAACATGAATTTTAGAGGGACACAATTTGGTCCATAACACCTGGTTTCACAAACAAATAAATGACAGAAATAAGCAGGGAGAAGAAACCTATGAAGTTAAAAAAAAAAAAAAAACTCAGCCAGATATCAACCAAATGTAATGTGAACTTCATGCTATATTCAACACACAACTATAAAAACATTTATGAAATAATGAAGGAAGATTTAAAACTGATGGTATATTAGGTGATATTAAGGAATTGATAAATACTTTTGAATGTAATAATAGTATTGGGTTTATGTTTTAAAAAATAGCATTCTTACCTTTGATATATATTTTAGAGATAGAAGAATATGATGTTTAGGACTTTCTTTAAAATCACTGTCAATGATAAAATGCTACCGGTTTTTACAAAAATTCACTACTTATCTTGCTATTTAGGAATATGCCTATTTCATAAAACCGAGGTCTCTGCTATAGAAAACATAGGAATGATATGGTTTTCTTTTTTATGTCAGCTACCAGCTAC